CCTCTATTTCTATCTACCCTATTTCTGAGATATTTCTTTGTCCTCCCTTTTACTTGGGAATTCTGTTTAGGAGTGGCCTTTGTTTCTGCTTCAAATTAGACCTGTAGTATATGCCAAGTCAGGCTGTTTTCTGGGAGCATACAAAGGTATCTGGACCATCGAGAGGATAGCCGGTTGGTTATTGAGTACTATGAGCTACATGCTGTTAAGAAGACAATGAGTATGTCTAGGAAATTTAGAAACTTACAGTCTCATAAGGTAAAAGTCACACATGAAAGACTTAAATTCAAGAGGTATATAGTGATGCAATACAGAAATTAAGTCATGAGGCAGGATAGAATAATTCCACAGGCAGTAAAAAAGAGTAATTCTTATAAGTTGAAGAGAAGGAATCTGCATGTTGGAGTTTATGTTTATTACTTTATATTTTGCTTTATAAGACTTAGTCTTTTTAATTTTTTTCAGCCAGTCAAGTTCCCTTTGAATTTTTATTTTATTTTATTTTGTCTATTTTATTAGCTTTATATCTTTGTATTCACGTGAAGAATGGGGCCAAATGGCTGATGTCTTCTATTATCAGTTTAAGGACCTTGATTTTTATTGAATAAGACAATGGTCAGCCACCAAAAGTTTTTGAACAGATGAGTGCCATGATCACAAAGTGTCAAGGAAAGTTAGTGTGGTATGTAGAGCAGATTGGGAGGGGTGAAAACAAAGCAGGAAGGTGAGAGATGACTGTAATAGTTCAAGTACAACGTGATCAGGCAGCATGTTAGAATGGAAGGAATGATGCACTTTTATCTGTCTGTTCACTGCCATAACCCTTGTATTAGTCCGTTTCTGTTGCTTATAACAAAATGCTTGGAACTGGATAATTTATAAGAAAACAAAATTTTTTGCTTACAGTTTTGGAGGCTGGGAAATCCAATATCCAGGGAACACATCTAGTGAAGGTCTTCCTTAGTCGTGGCTTCTCTGACAACAGGGTACCACCTTGTGGGATGGCAGAAGCAGAGAGAGACTCACCTCCTCGGGCATTCTCCTTTTGAAGCCAACAGAACCACTCCCATTATTCCAAGAATGGATCAATCCATTCATGAGGATGTAGTCCTTACAATCCAATCACCTCTTCAAGCCCCCACTTTTCAATAACCATAACAGGATTTCTCACCATCTTAACAGTCACAGTGGGGAATCAAGCTTCTAATATATAAAACTTGGGGAATGCAGTTTGATCCATATCAACCCTACTGTATAGAATAGGATCTGTCACTTAGTAAGAACTGAGTGAATGTTTGTTGATTTAATGAATGAATTAATGAAATAAAAAAAATATAGACTGTGGCAGAAGGAAAGGATGTAGTTAAGTTTTACTCTAATATTTCAAGCTTGATTGAACTATTACAGAAGTAGAGAATTGTGCAGGGAGAGAAGGTTTTGAAAACAAATCAAGAACTTTGTTGTATTCATGTTGAAGTTAAAACAACAATGCTTCCAAATAAAACAATTAATAGGCATTGGGGGGGATATATGAGAGAGAGGTTGGTGGCTAGGATTCTTTTTATTTGAGAGCCGTTTGCACAGAAGTAATAAATACAGAGTAGTGGTCATGATCCTCAATAAAAAGAGTATGTAGATTAAAGAGAAAGAGCCCAAGGGAAGGGCAAACCAATCTAATGCAGAAAAGATAACATGCGCTGAGTGCTTCCTATGTGCCAGACACTGTGTATCATCCTGATTAATACAATACCCCCATAAGGGTAGGTATTACCTAGGAAAACTGAAATTCAGAGAAGTTAAGAAATTCCTCTAAGGTCTCACGTCCATTAAATGTTGGGGCCATGATATCAAACTATATTTATCTACTCCTGATTTTCCATCTCTGCTGAAATTATCATCTCTTTGTGGATTTTGTCTACCTTTTCCACTGAATCCTTTAACACATTTATAATAGTTATGCCCTTGTCTACTGAGTCCAGTATTTGGTTAATGTATGGGTCTGTTTCTATTTTCTGTTTGTTTGTGGTTGTTGTTGTTGTTTTTTTCTCTTGATAATAGGTCACATTTTTTCATTTTTTGACTTTTAAAAAATATTTTATGGTAGAAATTGAATTAAAAAAGAACAATAGAGACTAAAGTATTTATCCCAGACAAAGCCATACCCCTTTCTCTATCTGGCAGGTAGTCTGGAGTGTTTATTCAATTTTGAGTTAAAGCCAGAGATAGACCTAAGATATATTAGGAACAAAGTTGCTGCTTAATATGAACAGTATAGATATTAGTAACACTGACTTACATGTTTTAGAAAAGTAAATTGAAAGTTGTGCACCATAAGTATTTCTCTGGAATTAGCATATCTGGATTCTTCTTTTGTCTAAACCATCACTTTCTATCACATGCATCGTGCTTTTGTGCTACAAGGATTTTGATTTATAATAGGGTGCAATGTCTTGGCATATTTATTAAAGATAGTGGCTAGCATAGTCTTTGCTTCTTGAAGAGGTTCTCTCAAGACATCAAAGGGCTTGCAGCTGGCTAAAAGTAAGACAATAAAGATGAATTTTTTTCTGAGTACTTAACATCCGTTGGAGCCTGACACTAATAATTTAAGAGGGCGACATCAAAGGGCTTGCAGCTGGCTAAAAGTAAGACAATAAAGATGAATTTTTTTCTGAGTAATTAACATCCGTTGGAGCCTGACACTAATAATTTAAGAGGGTAACAAAAGACAGCATAAGGATTCATAGTCAGGCTACTTCTTGGTTCCTCAACTATAGAAACCACTGGGGTCTTAATCCAGATTTCTTGATTTGAAATTTATATGTCCGTACTGATGAATCAGTAGTAGAAGAGGAGACAAGATTGTGCACATTCATTTATAGATGCAACATCACTGTCACATCATTATTTTGTGGCACTGAAATATAGAGTGCAGTATATTTGGTAAGCTTCAGGAGACCAAGGACATTGTCTTGTTTACTTTTGGATCTTCATCATTTAGCAAGTCCTAGCCAATAATCATTGTTCAATAAATATTTGTTGAAGAACTGATTGAATGAACAAATGTTATAGAAATATTTTATGTGAACTGAAAATATCACTGGGTACATCCAGATTTTAGTAAGCCCCCTCTTGATTATATTAGTCTTTTATAATGGAAATATGTTGGTTTAATATAGCAGCTTACATTATTTTTACTAGTGACTAATAGAACCACTTCCATGCCAACTTTAATAAAAAATCCAGTCACTTTTTGGTGGTGGCTTACAGAAATTATGCAGAGCTTAAATAAAACATTTTCTAATAAAAGGAAGCTAATAATTGGTAAACTATATTACCCACATAAAGAGACTGGCTTTGAATCATAAAGGTGAGATCAGAAGTTTCACTTGATAGAAAATTGTTGGACTTGGGGGGCAAAGAATCAGCAAAGAATAGAAGGGGATAGGCACTAGCTGGCAGAACAGAGAAGCACCCCTGAAATCCATACTCTGTTATTATCCTGTGTTGTTATTGCAAAGCAGATACTAATTAAATTAGGTTGAATATGGTAAAGTAGTCTGTTCCTGTTATCTGTTCCGAAAGGACCAACCGTCAGGGCTGGCCGGTTAGCTCAGTTGGTTAGATCGTGGTGTTGTAACACCAAGGTCAAGGGTTTGGATCCCGTACTGGCCAGCCACCAAAAGAAAAGGACCAGGTGCCATAATTTGACCTTGCTGATTCTCTATTTTGTGACTGAATGTGGTAAAAATTTATCTACTTAGCCCTTGTGAGCTCTCAATAGGAAGTGCCAACTAGTTTTCTTTCCCTCATTTTTCTTGCTGTTTAGCTTTATAATGTCATTCATGTTACTACTAGTCTTTGGAAAGAGCAGAATTCACATAGATCCATGCTTTAAATCCCTAAAGGCACATAGTCAATAGTTGAAATTTAATGGATTCAGAATGGTTGCACAACCACAAAAATAACCAAATAAATAAATGCATAACTATGCAGGTAAAACTGAAGACTTAGGCCACAGTCCCAGACCTGGTAGTAACAGAACATCAAAGAAATCACCCTGCTTTGGGTTATGAGGACTTTGGGCTAGGAGAGGCTATAATAAGCAAGGAAAGCTATGACATTCAAAATGAAGGAGATAGAAGCATAGTAACAAAGCCTTGTCACAGGAGCTGAAAGATGCATATCTATGACACAGCCAGTGAGAGTACTCTCCAACATTGGTGCCAGCCATGTATCAGCTAAATAGGAGATTTTTTTACTCTGAATATCATTTAAATAGTATAGCTTATATTTAATGCAAGTCATAAATAGACTTTTTGTTTCTTTGCTTGCTTAGTTTGCTTCTTAATTTCAGGTTTGATTAGACAACTTTACATGCTATCCCAACCTTTTTTGGAGTTAGACCTTCTTAAGGCTTGTTTTCAGCTTTGGAACTTCACTAGTTCTCAGTACCCTTGGAACTTCCCTAATAATAATAATCGTACGCATGATAACCACATTTGTGACTTCTTTTTGTTCATAGGACTAAGGAAAGGCCTTACATTGCTTTTTCTCTGTCCCTGAGAAATTCTCTAAACACACATATTTTTTTTCCCTTCCCTGTAAAGTCAAAGGGCGGGGGGAGCACAGTTTGGCTGCATACATTCTCATTTACTACACAATGACAGCCTCCCTTTGAATCTAAAACTAGTATCATTTCTAAAATTTACACTAATATTTCAGTTTTGTCATTATAAACAAAAATGTTGGTCCCTTACGCCTTTTTTGTAAGTGTTTAAGGGATTATTAAAAATCCTATGTCATATGATAATATTTTTGAAATGGCCTTAATTACATGTTTTAAGGATAAATATAATTATTTTCCTAAAATTTGCAATTTATTTTGGAATTTAAGTTTCCTGCATGTATTTTTTTAAGACAAAATAATATAAGTTAAGTGAACATTTTTGCAGTCTAATTTTGTTTCCTGTTTCTTTTTTATTTTATCCTGTTTTCAGCTTTCTAAGAAGTATGGAGCCCATGTTTGTGGAGAAGGTGGAGAGTATGAAACATTCACTTTGGATTGCCCTCTGTTTAAGAAGAAAATAATTGTGTAAGATATCATTTCAGCATTTCCTTCACTTTCCTTAAATTTAAGTGATGGAAGCAACTTAACATTAAGCTTGAGGCAACTTTTGTTGGGAGAAATAGAACATGTCCTCTAAGTTCACACACACTCAATTTGTTTAATACCAGTGAAGTCATCTGGATACCTAAATCAATACCTGACAAGACGAGGCCTTCATAGAAGGCTATAAACTTTTTAGACATTGCACTTTCGTTTACTTGCTGATTATGGCCTGCAGTAAAACTGGTACCTACACACTGACACTTTTATCCTTTCATGAAGTGTGAATTGCCTATATTATTTATCTTTCATTACAGCTACATTTGATAAACTGCCACATCTGTAGCCTGTGGGTTCCATTAACTCCATCCTCTTTTCCCTTTTTCTTGGCTTTAACAATTTAGAATGGTAATCCTAATACATTTCTCTTCAGCTATTTGGGGTTATTTTTACATAGAAACTTTGCTTTTAAATGAATTCAGTTTATGATGAATAGTGTGATTTCTTTGCCATAAATTGTTAAAATTAGTATAGTGAGAAACAGGGACTTTCTTCAGTTTATTAGGTTATTATTCATGCTCTAATTTATGTCGCTCTTCTCATATGCTGAGAGAGCACTTTATCTGCTTTTCCTAAGCTTTATGCGTCTTGGAAAAGATTGTCAAAATTACGCTTGATTGAATGGACAGTTTCAATATTTTCAACACTAAGATTTGACTTCTTTGTACATGATAATAAGGGAATGAATGATCTAAGAAAATCAAAACAACTCAAGGTGCATTTTCTAAAAAATACATTTATCTAGTGAAACATGGCAATCCATTTTCATTACCATATTCAAAATTCGTATACTATTGCTTCTTTCATGTTCTTTTAACTTCTTTTCCATTAATAATCAACATAATAGTAAAATAAAATAAAATAAATCAATATAATAATAATTTATTTGGCAGATATTTTTCAAGTATCTATTATGTCCAAAGCATTCTACTTGGCACCATTGATGTTCAAAGATAGTTTCTGCCTTCAAAAAGGTAGGAGGAAGACACATTTGTGTATAATTATCCAACAGTTGTTAAAGGATAAGACTTGTAAGTTCATAGATGGGAAATATTTCTTCTGGCCTTGATGATCACAAAATGATTCATGAATGAAGTATTCATGAGGTATTACTTCTAAGAAATAATACTGTTTCATTTGTCTAGAATATTTGCATGCTAGGGTGAAATTATAGTATAATAGAAAACTTGGGATATATTTACTTATTAACATAGGTCTGACCAAATTAGGAAAAAAACACAACAATAAGGAAAAAATGCCAAAGAATAATACTTTTCCCATTTGTCTGACAAATTGAGGTCCTAGAGCACCAAGAAGTCTTTTAGGACAACCCAGAATTATAAGATATGTACTGCTTTACACTACATAATTAGGAGGTCTATAGAAAATGAATCTTTTTCAACCTACTCATTTTGTAGACAAGAAAACCTAAGCCTGATGGAGACAATAGCATGAGGGGAATTAGTCATGCTATGAAAGAGAACCCTATAGTGCTAATATGAGCTGTTGTGTGCAACTGAATAATAATTAATTGAGGCAAATTATGTAGGTGGAACTCTGCAAGCTGCTGTCCTGCTCTGCAGAAGTTCTTCCTGTAACATGACAGATGGACAAATCAATAATACATGATAAGTGCTACCAAAAGGGTGTGTTCCCTGAGAACACAGAAGCAATGCTGTCTTTTCATTCTTGTTCATTTATCAGTTATAATCCTTAATCTAATTCTGATGCTTAAGCGTATTATTTGGTTTTTTCTTCTAAGTGCTACCAAAAGGGTGTGTTCCCTGAGAACACAGAAGCAATGCTGTCTTTTCATTCTTATTCATTTATCAGTTATAATCATTAATCTAATTCTGATGCTTAAGCGTATTATTTGGTTTTTTCTTCGTAGGCTGTGCCTCACATTAGCTTCTTAACTTTCTTACGTGGTTCCTTTTCTCTAGATTGCCTTCCCATTTTTCCCCTCTTTGCTAAATCCTTCCCTTTTTAAAGGCTTTAACTACCATTGCCTCTAGCACTCATTCTCATACCTGAACTCTCGTAATGCACAGTAGGCACTAATAAATGTTTGTTAAATATTATTGAATTAATTTGTCGTTTATTGTTTATTTTTATTTACATGTCCTGTTTAACTTACTTTGATGTATTCCTTTTTTAGGTTATAAATAGATATCATAGGTTGAGACATGTCCTGGTTTAGAGGAAAAAGGATATCACTTAGTATATAATATTTCCTTCTCTTTAAAATACACATGTCCTTATCATAGCTGTCTAAAATGCACTAAATGTGTTAATGTGAATGAACATTCATCGTACATTCTAACACTGTATGTAAATGAGTTATGTTACTTAGAGATAATCTTGTGTATGATACAACTAAAAAGTAAGTTTAGTCCCTCCTTATAACTATTTTTTAACAACTGACCATTAGTAATTCTGTATCTGGTAATTTAGAATTCAGTATTTTGAGACAAATTTAACAACTGTTTGTTATATTTGATATAGTAGTTGTCTGCCACTATCAGCATACAACTGATCATTTATTAGAATTCCCATTTCAAATGTCTGATTAAAATGCCATTTGTTTTTGCTAAAAAGAGGACATAGTAGTTGTCTGCCACTATCAGCATACAACTGATCATTTATTAGAATTCCCATTTCAAATATCTGATTAAAATGCCATTTGTTTTTGCTAAAAAGAGGACTACCTCAAAGGGGAGAAAAAACAAACTTTCCTATGTAAAATTATTTGATTGTAATTAGGGATTTTTTAAAACATGAATTGAATCCTTTTGTATAATAAAGTAATTTAGAGAGATTGGGGTTGTTCTAGAAGTTTATCATGAGATATATTTTGCCCAAATTCCAACTAACATTTTAAAAATCATGCAGGAAAGACTGGTATAACAGTCTTTGTCTGGAAGTAATTTTTAAAATTTCTACCTAGAACATTTTACAATTCACTTTTCATGTCAATTAATATGTGAAGTCACTCACCTCTAGATACAAATTTTCAAAGCAGAAAATTAGGGTTTTTTTCCTGAGGATCCCTGATGAAAAGAATTACAGCCTAGCTTTTAAGAGGACAATTGTATGTCCTCAAATAAAAAACCTACTTTCTTAATACTTATTACTTTTATACAGATCTTCCTCGATTTATGATGAGGTTACATCCCAGTCAACTCATTGTAAGCTGAGAATATCTTAAGCTGAAAATGCATTTAATATACCTAACTTACCAAACATCATAGCTTAGTCTAGCCTACCTTAAACATGCTTAGAACACTTTCATTAGTCTGTAATTAGACAGAATTATCTAACACAAAGCCTATTTTATAATAAAGTTATTATAAAGAATTTTGAGTCAAAATTCAAAGTACTGTTTCTACTTATTGCATATTGCTTTCACATCATTGTAAACTTGAACAGTAGGGTAAGCCATTTTAAGTTGGGGATCGTCTTATGTATATATCAGAAGAGCTAAAATCATGAAGTTGTGTTAATGAAAGTGGTCATTTTCTTCTCTCTGTTAATGAATGCTTTAAAATTTTTTTAATTAACACATAATAATTGTACATGTTCATGGAGTACAGAGTGATATTTCAACACATGTATATAATGTGTAATATCAAATCAGAGTGGTTAGCATATCCATCACCTCAATCATTTCATTCTTTTGGGAACATTTGAAATCCTCTTTTATAAGCTATTTGAAAATATACAATAACTTATTAACTATAGTCACCTAAAAGTACTTTAGAACACTAGAACGTATTCTTCCTATCTAGCTGTAATTTTGTATCCATGAACCAACTTCTTCCTATTCCCTTTCCCTTCCTTTCCCAGCCGCTATTAACCACAGTTCTACTCTCTATTTCTATGAGCTCAACTTTTTTAGCTCCCACATATGAGTGAGAACATGTGGTATTTATCTTTCTGTGGCTTACTTATTTCACTTAACATACTGTCTTCCAGGCTCATTCATTATTGCTGTGAGTGACAAGATTTCATTCTTTTTTATGGTTGAGTAGTATTCCATTGTGTGTACATACCACGTTTTCTTTATCCTTTCATCTGTTGATGGACACTTAGGTTGATTCCATATCTTGGTTATTGTGAATAGTGCTGCAGTAAAAATGGTGGTACAGATATCTCTTCAGTATACTGATTTCCTTTTTAGTGGGTAAATACACAGTAGTGGGTTTGCTGTATCATATGGTAGTTCTATTTTTAGTTTTATTGAGGAAACTCCATACTGTTTTCCATAATGGCTGAGCTAATTTACATTCCTGCCAATGTTGTATAACAGTTCCCTATTCTTCACATCCTTGCCAGCATTTCTTATATATTTTTTTTTTATTAGAACCATTCTTACTGGGGTGAGATATCTCATTGTAGTTTTGATTTGCATTTCCTTGATAATTAGTGAGGTTGAGCATTTTTTCATGTACTTGCTGGCCATTTGTATGTCTTCTTTTGAGAAATGTCTATTCAGGTCATTTGCCCATTTTTTAATCGATTTTTTTGGTTTTTTTGCTGTTGAGTTGTTTGAGTTCTTTGTATATTCTGGTGCATTTTCTAAAAATACATTTATCTAGTGATACATGGCAATCCATTTTCATATTAATCCCTTGTTGTATGCATAGTTTGCAAAAATTTTCTCCCATTCTGAAGGCTACCTCTTCACTCTTGATTGTTTCCTTTGCTGGGGAGAAGCTTTTTAGTTTGCTAGTTTTGCTTTTATTGTCTGTGCTTTTTAAGTCTTATCCCCAAAATATTTGCTCAGACCACTGTCTTGAAGTGTTTCTTCTATGTTTTATTCTATTAGTTTTCTACTTTGGGGTCTTATATTTAAGACTTTAATTCATTTTTAATTGATTTTTGTAAGTGGCAAGAGGTAGAGATCTAGTTTTATTCTTCTGCATACAGATATTTTACTTTCTCAGCACCATTTATTGAAGGGGCTGTCCTTTCCTGAGTGTATGTTCTTGGCATCTTTGTCAAAAATTAGTTGGCTGTAAATGTGTGAATTTATTACTGGGTTCTCTATTCTGTTCCATTGATTTCTGTGTCTATTTTTATACCAGTATCATGCTGTTTGATTACCATAGTTTTGTAGTATATTTTGAAGTCAGGTAGTGTGATTCCTCTAGCTTTGTCCTTTTGCTTGGGATTGCTTTGACTAGTCAGGGTCTTTTGTGGTTCCATGTGAATTTCAGGATTTTTTTTTTCTATTTCTGTGAAGAATGTCATTGGTATTTTGATAGGGATTGCATTCAATCTGTAGATCGCTTTGGGTAAGATGGTTATTTTGACAGTATTAATTCTTCCTGTCCATGATCATGGGATGTCTTCCCATTTAACACATTTTTTAAAATGTCAGTATATGAGACAACCCTATATTTCCATTTGAATTGTCAGTATTATTATATTAGTGCTACAGATTTGAATGGAAGAATAAGAATGAAGGAAGAAACAAAAGACTAAGTCCTGTGATTAAAACACTGTACAATCATTTCCCACTTTCCCTATCTCTTCATATTTTCTACCCGCTCCATGCATGACTCAGTACAGAGCACTGTAATATGGCATTTTGTAGTGGGGATGAAGCACGTACTTTGACTTATCTGCCTTCTCACATTGATTCTGTGTGACCTGGAAATGTATTTAAATTTAAGAATTATTTTCCTTGTATTTAAATTTTTAGACTTATTAACCTTTATTTTTATTATGCTAGAGATGTTATATGGTGTTGTTGGTATATATGTGTACATACATTGATATATTTATATATGTAGTATACATGTATGAAAAAGTATGTATTTGGGTGAAGGTAGGCAACTGAAAAATTAGTGTGGGTTTCTGATAAGTTCAACAGTTGGTATGAAAATGTGAGGGTACTGAACAAAGTTTAACTATACAGTTATTTATTCAACAAATGTCTAATGAATACCATGCAATGTACTTTGTGCCGAGCCAGGGGTGGGATGGGACAGGGACAGGCAGACAAAGATGAACAAAACTGGTCCCTCTCTCAGAAGGAATACAGGCACACAGACACATAGGTATAATACAGTAGATAGGTTATGAAAGGACTATGAACGTAGTACTGAAGCACATAAAGGAGAAAACTAGCACTGACTAAAGAATGCCAGGGAAGCCTTCATGGAAATAACGTTTGAGATGTCTGCAAGTGTAAGTGTGAGTCCACAGGGAATATCTCTGTCCATTTTAGTGAATACAGAGATCATATGTTTGAGTAAGAAAGGTAAACAGTGCCTCAACCTCAACCTAGCACAGTTGTCTTTTTAGAGGAGAGGGAGGAACAAAGATCATGGCTGAGTCTTAAGAGAGAATACCAGCGTTTTTCTCTTGAGGTAAGAGGTAGGGCCTCACCTCATCCCTCAGGAACCTGGCATCAGACCAGATTCAGCTCAGACCAGATTCAACTGTCCTTTTGAAGTTGTAGGTAGAGATGAGCCCAACGCAGCAAAGGAAGAGAACCATGGACAAGCTCTTGGCTGTGGAGAAGCCTCAGTTATATGAAAGATATTAATTGAAATGATTACTTGTATTAATAGGGGAAGAGGAGGAGAACAGCCAACTGGAAAGCATTTTTGCTGACACAATTGTTCTTAATTCTTTGGTTAACCTGAGGATATTAGGACAGATCCTGCTTTTAGGATTCAGAGAAATCCATGAGGCAAACAGAAATCAGAGATCTTTGAAAGTTGAGTTTCAGGTGATAGTTTAGGAAAGAGAAAAGAAGAGCAATAATGGCATTATTCTATTTGAAACTAAAAACTGTTCGTTTGGGCTCTAGTCTCTCCCAGTTGACTCTCGCTTTGTATAAGTGAATGAAAATTATGTTAGTCAGTTAGAGATTATGGATTTAATAGAATCCATAAAAATCACACTCTTCATTTAGTGCTCAGAGTAGTATATATTCTCTCTGGATAACAATCTTGGTTCAGAACGCAGTAATTACATCAGTTAAGTAAGCTGTCTGCTGTCATCCTTCTCTTCCTAGTGAAGATAACTGACAGGAGAAGGGAGAGCCTCAGAGTAGTATATATTCTCTCTGGATAACAATCTTGGTTCAGAACGCAGTAATTACATCAATTAAGTAAGCTGTCTGCTGTCATCCTTCTCTTCCTAGTGAAGATAACTGACAGGAGAAGGGAGAGCCAGAAAACTTTCTGTGTTCCACCTTTCTACTGAAATAGTATTGGTTCAGGTTAATTATAGTTTTGGTGCACTCCTTTGTCAAGGATATCAAAACCAGGCTGCCTAGATTAGGCATAATTAAGCCTCAGGGTCAGTTTCCAAGGCTGGGGTCAGAAACAAAGAGATGAAATTTAATGTAAGAGTAACATCGTAAACAAGAATTGAAGTTTGAATCTGATTGTTGAACCAAGATAACACCAGAGCAGCCAACTCTGAAGGGAGTGGAGAAACAAGACTACAACTAACAAACCAAGTGGGGGTCAAACCAGAGGGGCAGGTGACAGCAAGCAAGAGGGCATCCTCTGTACTATCTTTCTCCTCTTCCTCCTCATCAGACCTGGAGGCATCTTTTAGTAGATGTAGCCTTTGGAAGCAAATTACATATTTTTATCAGGATCCTGACTCTTTAGTGATTTTATTTCTATTATATTTTAATTTACTTTCCTTTTAATGTGGTAGAAGTCCTTTTTAATGTTATTTTTCCTAAGCATTAACAGGATGCATATTTAGTACTAATGTTTCATCAATGGTAATTAGGTGTTTTTTAAAATCATCAAACATTTTTTTCTATATCTTTCAAATGGAAAGTAAACATATTTTGTCATGAAAATCTAATAATTTTTCTATTGCCATTAAGTAACTTTGCATCACAAAAGTTGATTCAAATAATTTTTTTGTGTGTTAGTGGCAGAGTCAAATAAAGTAAGAATTTATTTTGCTGTACTACAATGGTCAAAATTCTAATGATCTATTAATATAAACAATAGAACTACTTCCCAATGCATTAGAGATATGAGGAATTTCTATTTTTAAATTTTCAGTTGAAATTCGAAACACCATTGCTCTCTTAATAAACAATAAAAAATAATTAGTTATTAGAACTTCACACATAATCTTGGTTATTCATATGTGCTTTACAGGGTATCTTTGATAAAAGTTGAGTTAATTTACAAGTATCCATATGGTGCCAGCAAGCAGTTCATACCATTTTACCTGAATGTGGTAATTACTATGTCAGACAATCAATTTTAAAAGCAATGATATTGCAGTGTGAAGAGTTCATCTAGAGCTTAAAACCACCATCAGTATTGCTTTTGTGAAGGATAATTGAAATTTTTTGTGAAACACTGAATGAAATAACTCTTGAAAATGAAAAGAATAATGAAGATAAAGTACTAATGTTTAATATTTAGCCCATACCAGGCAAATTTGTGAAAATGAAATTGAACAGGAATTTAAGTCTAAAAATTGTTCGTAGAGCTTTGAGTGAATCTGAAAGTTGAACTGTATGTCCTTATAAAGATGAAAAGCTTCATTACTTTTTCTTCAAACTTTAATGTTCTCGATCCTTTTCCCAATTAAATGTTGGTTTATTAAAAATACATGTTAATCACTACATATGGAATACCATTGGAAATAAATGCAAAACAAGGATTTGGGATCTCTTCTAGTAGGTAGCAAGAGTTATTTGCCTCAGTTTATGTAGTTGATAAATGCATTATAAAATGTTTGTATTTCAGGGACTCGTCAGAAGTAGTCATACATTCAGCTGATGCATTTGCACCTGTGGCTTATCTACGCTTTTTAAAATTGCACTTGGAGGACAAGGCAAGTAAATCTAAGATTGACTGTGATTTCAATAGAAGATTGAGATATATGCATTGGCTGTGTATATATAATTCTATAACAACAGATAACAGGATAAAGAAAATTGATTTTATAATTAGTGATTTTTTATCAGTTCCTCAGTCAATAATTAAGAATTTTACAAATGATTATAGTTTGGGAGCTCTATATGATACAAAAGATATTACATTTCTGAAGTGTTTGCAGGTCAGTTGAGAAGAGAATAATATACACATTAAGCAATGTGAAGACAGGACAGTATAAAACCAAATGTTGAATCATCTAGCAGGATAAGAATTATGTTATTGTGCATAAGCATTAGAGGAAAGGTTTGAAGATGAATTGGATCTTCATTGTACAATGTTTAAAAGGGGGAAAGGAGAAATAAAACCTTTTTAAAAATTATCCAGGGGAACAGAAATACAAGTGAAAGATGGAGAGTGAGACAAGTGCAATAGTTTTACTTTAAATACATTTTAAATACATCGATTATCAAGGTACAGCAGAATCTTGATTTAAAAATGTCCTGTGGATAGGTAAAAATCTGGATTACATCCTTTGTTTGAAAAGTGTGATCCTTGATATTTTGCTTTATATTAATCTCCATAGAAATGATAGCTGAAACTATCATTGAGAAAATAAGTGAGGAAATGAGAGTAGTGGTGGAAAAAGGATTGGAAAAGGTCTTCTGTATCTTTAGTGTTCTTTCCCCAAGTCCTGAGGTACACCCACAGTTTTATATATACATATGAATGATAGGGATTCTGAAGGATCAAGAGGACTAATGATGGCAAAGGTGGGAAAAGAATGGTAACCCCAGAAATCTCAAGATGAGAGAGTTTATACAAGTAGAGAATAGTTATTGATGTCAGTTTTCCAGAAAAATGGCAATGGATAGGATTGACAATAGGTCATTGAATTGGACTGGAAGATTATTATTGGTGACCTATTACCAAAAAGCTAGTAACCCTCAATAGAATGAAATTATACTGTCCAAGTATCTTTCAGATTCACCGAAAAAGACCCCACTTCTAGGTCTCTGCTACTTTTGCTGCCACATACACACAGAAAATCAGAACTATTCAATTCTTCTTTAGACACTCCTGCCATTATATGTTCAGCTCTACCTGGATAGCTCACTACTCACTTTGTTGTTTTGCTATTTTATTTGTCTGCACTTGCTCTCTCTGTTGCAGATAACAATGTTACTTCTTTAAGGTGGAATATTCATTGACATTGAATAAATATGGTGCCTTTTCCTTTTTTCTTTTTAGGTGTCCCCAGTGCCTGACAACTACAGAACATCTAATAATATATTCGTACATAATTCTTGAAAAGCATTTTTGAACATTGTTCACTAAGCTACCATTTCTATGCCAAAAAAAAGATTTTTTTTTTCAATTATCGTGACCAGCTTTTTCTCATTACATTTTTTTTTTTTTTTTTTTTTGAAAAATATACCATGATAAGAAGTTACTGGAGCCATTTGATTAATGGGGAAAATGTCAATGGCTTGTTCGGTAATATTGCCAGCCTCCTCAACATTCCCTTTTTCTCTCTAGTTAACACATCCTCCCTATGACTTCTAGGTGATACGTGCCTCTTTTTTTTCCCTTTTACTTCATCTCCAATCCTCATTTCTGTGACATTTCTTTTCTTTCCTTACAATAGTTTCTTTTCCTCCTTCTCTCTTGCTTGTTTTCTTCTTCTCATCTCTGCCAATTTTATCATGATGCACACACATTTGAAAGTGAAGATAAAGGGATCACTTTATTTAGCCAATCAAGCTTATTCTACTGTGTATCACCAAAGTGATTTGTCATTTCTATTTTGAATATATTTATGGTTCAAGAGTTTCAACATTATTGGACAAACAGGAAAAATATTATTAAATCTTTCTTATTATTTTAAAACTGATTAAATATGTAATTTTTCAGTATTACGTGTGGTGACCTTACACAACTTTTTTTTTTTAATAGATTTACTTTTTAGAACAGTTTTATGTTCACAGCAAAACTGAGAGAAAACTGCAGAGTTCCCTTATACCGCCGGCCTCTCCAATTTGTGTGTTGTAGTTCTGGGCTCTCTACTTTGTTCCACCAATGTTTATCCTTTGCCGTACTACACTGCCTTGATTACTGTAGCATTATAGTAAGTCTTGAAGTCAGATAGTGTTAATCTTCCCACTTTGTTCTTCTTCTTCAATATTGTATTGACTATTCTGGGTCTTTTGCCTCTGTATATAAACATTAGAATCAGTTTGTTGATATCCACAAACTACCTTGCTGGGATTTTGATTTTGATTGAATTGAATCAATAGATCAAGTTGGGAAGAACTGACATGTTGACAATATTGAGTCTTCCTATCCATGAATACTTCCTATCCGTGAAACATCTCTCCATTTATTTAGTTCTTTAATTTCATTCATCAGAGTTTTGTTCAAACATCTATTTTATCTTCATATTTATTATAACTTAATATGTTAAATGTTGCTTCAGTTAATACTGTTTGGGGTTTTTCTTGGTTTTGGTTTTTTGCTTGTTTGTTCTTTGTTTTTGCAAATAACAACCTTTTAAGTATTATTCTTGATGTGAATCCAGAGAGAAATAGAGCTGCCTTTACTGAAATCCTATTTCATCTCAATAGCTCTAGTTAGCTGTGTGCCCATCACTGAATCAGAAACAGGGTCCGAGATAAAGCTCTGGCCAAGTCATCAACTTTACTCCTGAGCCACCTCATACTGTAGAGAAGGGGTTCTTAGAGGGAAACGAAGTATGATTACTAAAAGAAAGATGAATAAATGCTGGAGAGCAAAAATGGCTGATTCTCTTCTACATGTTTTATCTAGATCACATTGTTATTTCAAACTCATATTAACAAATTAATTAACATTCTACCCCAAGTAACAGTGAGACCTTGAATGTGATATCTTGAATACCACTCTGAAAATGGATCTGCTCCCCAAATTACTTCAGTTTCCATTTGCTGGGTAATACATTTGTAGTCTAGCTTGACATTATTTAGTTTGATGAACTGCTATTGGTCTTTTCTCAGTCTTCATAATTTTTAATCCTTTTCCTTGATAATATTGGCCATGATCATTTGAAAATTTCCTTTACAATGGCTATATGTTGCTGTAATGTTGTGACTTTTCTTCTACTTCTGTCAGGATTTCTTCTGTCTTCTTCAGTGGGTCCTCTTCTTCTTACCTTCAGCATGAACATATGAATCAACTTCTTTTTATGGATCCATTCTTTTCTTTTGCAGTATTTTACCTTCCTAGAATTTTTGTCTTTTTCCACAAGTTTAATTTTCACCTCTTTATGCAGACGATTCCCAAGTCACTCTCTTTCTAGTCTTTGTGCTAATATCTACTCTTTCTCCTTAACACTAGATTCTTATTTTTGACTGGTTGCCAGGCATGGCTGCGAATACAAGATTACTTCAAAATGTTTGTGGAAAATAGAATTAAAATATATGAATCTATTCATAAACTTTTTGAAGTACCCTCATATGTATCAGTCTCATTTTGTACAAAACTTGAACTCTTTTTCACTTCCAAATGTACTTTATTCCTGTTTTTGGTATTTAACACAACTGTTTTCCACCAGAATATGGGCACAGAATATTGGCATCATCTCTTCAACTATTTCTCATTCACCATGAACATTCAATTGCTTATCTAATTCTTTCTATTATAGTCCTAATATATCTGTAACACCATTCCATCACCATTGTTATCTCTCTAGTTAAAGTTGTATCTTACCCAGACTCTTGGACAAGATACAGCTAATTTAAGTGGATTCCTTGCTTTCAAACACTCCACATTCAATTTTACTGCCATATTGATTTTCCTTTCTAGTATTTGTTTCCCAGCACAAAATTCCACGATAGTGCTGCAGTGTTTTCTAAATACATAAACTGGTTATCCATGAAGGCCTTAACATCTATTTTTAGTCTTGCTCCCAGGACTCCCCTACATGTATTCTTTACTCTAGTAATACCAAACCATTGTATACTACCTTATTATGCCTTCTGCTTCCTTTTGCCTTCCCTTTCATTAACTGTTTACATCCTAGCCATGATGCAAGATTAAACTCATATGCTTTGCCACATTTAGCCATGCAAGATGAACTACCCCCAACACTTTGTTTCTTCCTTTCCTGTGACAATTAACTTTATTCAGCATTATATTTATAGTTTGCAATGTTGCAAATTTCTTAAGGATTGTTCCCTATTCATCTTCATACTCTCTGTACCAGCTGTTAGTTTCTCAGTGAGATTTTTATTTAACTGATTTTTATTTTTATACTTAATTTTTTCTTTATACTAAATCTTAGAGACATGTTTCGGTTTCATGTTACATAGCATTTAATGAGAGTTACTTTATCTTTCTTTTATCTTGTTAGAGAAACATGCTCTAAGCAAACTAGAATGTAAAATGCAACATTTAAAGAGATTGTTAGTGTAAATTTTAAGTTATCATTTAGAATTTCACTTTATATATGATGACCTTCAAACTTTTGTATTAAATAATGAATCTACTTAAATTTTACCTTTAAGATAAAAATCTTAAATTATTTCTATGAGTAGAAAAATGATATCAACTAAACATGGGATCCCAAACAAAATAACTGAATAATTGGAAAGCTCTGAGTTAAAAATTGGGAAATATATTAAGATTTCTTTGGGGCCCTGACTTTATTGCTTATGGCAAACTTGATGCTAAACTGTACCATACATCACTGCAGTGACAGGCTTGAGAAAATGAGAAATACAAAGGTTTACATAAATCAACCAAAAGATCATATTAAAATGCATAACCTTTAAGAGAAAAATCAAGACTTTTACTTGTAACTATTCAGAAGCTCTTTTCCTTATATAGTTGTCTTAGATTTTTCAAACAGCTTTATGAGAACTAGTATTTCAAATTTATTGTTGGCAAAGCTATTGTATTTGTGAAAAGACAAGAGTCACAGAAATTTAGCCACAATTTTACTAATGTTCCCTACTATCAGTTAGTACTTAATTTTGCTTTTGTTGAGATGATTTCCTGAGTACTAATGTATACTATAATCACTTAGCACTTAACTTTGTTTTTTGTTGAAATAATCTCATGTAACAATTATATATTTTGTATAATAATAAAAGTTCACATTCCTAGAAGTTGTAACTTTTAAAGACTTCAGCAGTCTTGTAGCCCATTCTTCTCTCTCTCATTTTATTATGCTTTATTTCAGATACATTATCAAATATCTTGAAAAACTTTATAACATTTAGCCATCTCTGTGCTTTTGTTTTTCTCTTCAATCCAACATTTAATGATGAGTTTAAAGAAACTATTCTGTCTACATGGAATTAACTACTAATATGGGCAAATTACAGAATAATTTTAGTGAACATTAATTTGAAGTTATTACCAATAATCATTTTCCCCATCATAATGATTACAGTAACAGATATAACTAGTTTTGCTAATCTGAACTGAAGTTGTGGCCATAATATATTGGGTTTTTTGTTGTTGTGTTGTTTTGTTTTTTTGTTTTGTTTTGTTTTTTTGACTGGTAAGGGGATTGCAACCCTCAGCACGGTGTGGTCTGCACCACGCTCAGCCAGTGAACACACCAGCCATCCCTAAATAGGATCCGAACCTGCAGCCTCGGCGCTACTAGCACTGCACTCTCCCGAGTGAGCCACGGGGCCAGCCCCATAAAATATTGTTGATTCAAGGTGAAGAGTGATGCGTAGGTTATGGTCCTGTTTTTCTGTAAATAGTGGTGAAGGCAGGCAGGGTATATGTTTATTTATATATGAATGAAGATAGTAAGAGGTGGGTATGTAATCACCAGACTGATAATATTGGATTATTTGGGGGATGGGTGCAGGAAGAAGGCAAAAATGGAGAAACTTAATTCCTTATATTAGTCTGTAATTTTGGGCTTCTTACAATGAGCATTTATTTTTAAATTTTAAAAATACTTTATTAAGAAAATTAACTGAGAGGGGTGAGTACAGTGAGCTTCAATGCTGAATAAATACTTAAATGTTATTATAAACATTTTAAAAATCTTGGTAGACAGAGATATACTAAGACCCTTTAAAACCTTCCATAGAGCTCATGTGAAAACAGTACCCAAAATGTGGGCTTGAAATCTAGTTGATCTTATGGTAAAGTCTTATAAGCAGGACTCCTGGGGGAAATGATATTTATGAAAGATGACTAAAAGTGTTGAGATGGCAGGCCTCTTGAATATGTTGTGAATGGGAGTTTGCTCTCACTATGTGTAGCAACATGAATAAACTCAAAGATTCCTTCCATGGAGGTGTGCTGCCATTGCCTCTATCACATCAAAAAGTATTTTCTTATAGATAGGAAGCAACCCTGTTCCACTATGGTCTTGACTCCAACCACACTTGGTCTCAGTCCTACCACCAGTCCCA